ACTATCGCTGGACCAAGAAATCAACATCAAGACAGCTAAGGCAGCAACAACAATGATCAGATTAACAAAGAGAGTTTGGGAGAACAGAAAGCTCACAATTTAAAACGAAAATCCTTGTCTATCAGTCTTGTGTTCTCAGCACTCAGCTTTATGGCAGTGAAACCTGGTCAACCTTTTTGCACCAGGAGAGACGGCTTAATAGCTTTCTTATGCGATGCCTAAGAAGAATACTTGGCATTAAGTGGCAGGACAAGATCACAAACACTGAGGTACTGGAAAGAGTAGGTACTACAACAGTTTTTTCCAGGCTCAGTCTAAGAAGTCTCAGGTGGCTAGGTCACACCTGGAGAATGGAGGATGGCAGAGTCCCCAAGGACATCCTTTATGGTGAATTAAATGCAGGTAGAAGATGTCGAGGCGGATCTTTACTACATTATAAAGCGGGTCATGAATGATACAGGTATTGAGGTGGGCTCATAGGAACAAAATGCTATGGACCGTGTTGTGTGGAAAGAGCATACCAGGAAGGAAATTAGAGTGAAGAAAGAAATGATTGCAGAAAGAATGAGAACTGAGCGACTGAAAATATACGGATTAAACACAAATGTTGACAACAATGGTCCTGAAGTCCCATTCTATCATTGTGGAAGACTTTTCTTGACACGGGCAGGTCTTGCTAGTCACACTCGACATCGCCATGGGCTGTGAGTCCCATGCCTCCTCATAGCGCAATATAACACTATCGTCTGTAAGGACGGAAAGGTTTCAATCAATCAATTAATGAGAAGAAGGAGTCTGACTGGTTATACATTTTTTTTAAATAATAACTATTGCGATTTTAATCTGATATGCTACAATGAAAAGGGTAGGAACAGATTTTCAAAATTACGTTATAAGGACAGTTGTGAATATCCACATCTCCCGGAGTCTCCAAAAGAATGCACCAGGTCATCTAGTAGAATGTACCCCCCCCCCCCCCCCTTCCCTCCCTCACACACACACTCTAGTTACGTTCAAAATGCACTTTTTTTGGGGTAATAGAAAGGTTAGTCTCCTCACGGACCACCCATATACACACTAGCTCACTCCCGATTGTTCGACCTCAGCCTAGCTCACTTCTGATTGGCCGACTTTGAGCCACCCGGCCTTTGCACAAGGTGACAGGGGTGTTCCCCAAGTCTGTTGATATCGCGTCTTCTATATTTCAGCATTCTATCGCCTTTAACACTACAAAAACATCGACAAACTGGGTCTAACAAACAACCCCTTTAGAGAGTGATGAAACCTATGTCATGGGAATTCTCTTTCTCGGATTAAAAAAAGAAATGCAAGACATCCCAGAAAGCAAACAACAGAGCGGTACACCCAAAACGTCCAACAGGTTAGACCAGTCCAAGAAAGTTATCAATGGAAACCTACTTTCTATGGGAAGACTAACGTTCGTTTGACCTTTTTTTTTTCTATATGGACCACAACCAGGTTGGCAATTCTAAAGTTTACCCGCGGACACACACAAAAGTAGCCCACCCCTGATAAACTGTTAGAGTCGATGAGCTATAATAGATGTTTACGAAGGAAACGGAATATTTATCAGTTTGTCTGGACTAAAAGATACCGATTCTTTGAAAACCACAAACAATGACTCATAAATTCTGTATTTTTTCTTTCTTTTTTTTTTTTTTTTTTGTCTAAAAAATTAAGAAGTTGTAAATGTCCCCAGATTTGAAATTTAGGCTCCATAATAAACATAAATGGGTTCTCCTCAACAGAAGTCAAAAGGAGAAAGGCCATGGTAATGCTAAGATTAAACAACATTAAGAGTCTATGGTTTAACACCAGCAAAAACAAAACAAAAATCAAAGTCAAAATTTTGAGAGCAGACATTTCCTCGGTAGCAACATACGGATGTGAGTCGTGAACTATCTCGTAGTCATTAAGGAAGAAAATATGGGCTTTTAAGACGAAATGATATTGACAGATTCTCTGAATACCATGGACCAAGAAGAATAGACATGCTGACATCTTAAAAGATCTGATCATCAAGGAAGATTGTCTAGCAAATAGCATCTTGTCTACGAAACAGGATATAAATGAAAGATTGTCTAGCAAATAGCATCTTGTCTACGAAACAGGATATAAATGAAAGATTGTCTAGCAAAAAGCATCTTGTCTACGAAACAGGATATAAATGACACTCGCATTGAGTAGGAAAGTGTACAAGACGGGATCCTCGGAGGCAGACGAATATTAGAGCGATGTTCTGCAAAGTACCTGATATAAAATGATATCATGGTTTTAGAGCTTTTAAAAGTGAAATAGAAGTAATAATTGAAACAACCACATTCTGTTCAAACCCGTGTTGTAGGGGCTATACGCTAGTTTGCGGGCCCGAATGTCTGGGTTAAAATTAACATCGAGTCAGCCTGTTTTCTTCAAAAACGAAATTTGCCACCAGGTTGACTGACTGACTCAGTCGCTCCTCTACTTCCTTAGAGGTTTGCCAGAGAGATCGTTAGACTACTCTTTCATTAAACAAGGTGTATTTGATATGTATGTCTGCACGCGCGCGTGTTTGGGATGTGTATGTATGTGTAGGCGTGTTTGTATAGTATGATTCTGAGTATGTTGTGTGTATCTGCACGTGTGTCTGCGAATGTATGCGTCTGTGTGTCCTTGTGTATATGTCCGAATGTGTGTGAGCATGCGTATGTCCACGTGTATGTGTCAGTATGAATTTGTGTGTTTCTGTGTGTTAAAGTGTGCCTCTTTGTTATGTATGTGTGTCTGCGTGCGCGTGTGTGTGACTGGATATATTTGGCTGTGTATATGCGACTGGGTATATGTGTGTGTGTCTCTGTGTTTGTCTGCATGTATACATGTCTGCGTGTGTGTCTCGGTGTTTGTCTGCATGTTTGATGTGACTGTGTGCTTGTCTGCGTGTTTGCCTGTGTATATTTATGTGTGTTTGTCTGCATGGGTGTCTATGCGGCTGTGTGAATGTGTCTCTGTGTGTGGGTGTCTGTATGCTTGTCTGCGTGAGTGTATGTGTCGGCGTGTATCTGTCTGTGTGTGCGTGTCTCTGTGTGTCTTGTGTGCGCGGGTGTCTATTGTATTTGCAAATAGGGGTTTTTGTGTGTGTGTCTCTGTGTGTTTGTGTGTGCCTCTTTGTTTTGTGTATGTGTCTGCATGTCAGACTATATGTCTGTGTGTGCCGTGTATCTGTGTCGCATGTATCTGTCTTCGTGTGTATTTCTATGTGTTTGTCTGAGTGTGTGTTTGTCTGTATATGAATTTCTGCGTGTTTGTCTGTGTGTGTGTCAGTATGTGTTTGTATGTATTTGTGTGTATGTGTTTGACTGCGTGTGTGTCCATGTGGCTGCATGTACGTGTCTGCATGTTTGTCTGCGTGAGTGTATGTGTCTGCGAATGTATGTATGCGGGTGTGTGTGTCAGAGTATGAGTCTGCGTGTGTTTGTGGGAGTGTCCGTTTGTGCATGTATGTATGTATGTATGTATGTATGTATGTATGTATGTATGTATGTATGTATGTATGTATGTATGTATGTATGTATGTATGTATGTATGTATGTATGTATGTATGTATGTATGTATGTATGTATGTATGTATGTATGTATGTATGTATGTATGTATGTATGTATGTATGTATGTATGTATGTATGTATGTATGTATGTATGTATGTATGTATGTATGTATGTATGTATGTATGTATGTATGTGTGTGTGTGTGTGTATATATGTATACATGTTCTTTTATAATATGCATATAATCATATGATCATTACATGTTTCATTAGTAAAACACAGCTGCTATGCGAAAGATGGTTGGCTGGAAGAGCCGAATGTAAGTCGGGCCTGCGTGGCAAATGTGTGACCCTTTGAAAATAAAGTTTGTTCTCTCTCTCTCTCTCTCTCTCTCTCTCTCTCTCTCGCTCTCTCTCTCTCTCTCTCTCTCTCTCTCTCTCTGCAGTTTTCTTTTTGGTGTTGTTCCATTCGAAAGCCCATATACGCAAAATCACAACCTGTGAGATGAGATGCATGAGTAAAGCCGCCAACCTAACCATCCGAGATTGAGTGAATAATGATACTATCAGGCAAATTGTGGGAACGACACTTTGTACTAGATTTATCGAGAAACAGCAGATCAAGTGGTTTGTCCATCTCGTCAGAACGCAGCAAGATCAAATACCATCACAAGCACCACATCTTAGAAGTTTAGGTACAAGAGCAAGAAAACCGGCCGTGGGCTGCAGCGAGTCGCAGATGGATTTGAAAGCGAGTCTCCTTTCGACTGCGCTAACGCGGTCCAAACCTATCTGGGTAATAGTTGGGATTCAAAGAGTATTTGTTCGTTAAATTCAAGTATAAGAAATTTATGCTTGTCCTCCAATACGATTATTTTGAGGAATGAAAATAAAATGCTTTGCCAATACCCCAAACAAAATGTTACTAAAATAAAATGTAATGATAATTTGATTCTCGCCCATGTTGAAAACTGAAACTTGATGTTGGCGGATACGACGAAAATCTGGTATTGCTATCGGTGAACCTTTTCAGTATCCGGTACAAGGGAGACAGGTTGGAACTTTGCCGTTGTCCTTATTTTTCCCCTCAAAATATTTTGTTTGCGGTATTCTTATGTATATCGAAAAATAAAACACAATGTCAATTGTATTCATCAAAGTTTGTTAGAAACATACTTTGTAAAAAGGAAACTATTAGAACGGTTATCGAGAATGGCGATACTGTAGCCGTAGGTTGTCTCTAGACTCCACAAAATTAAACACGTGTCGACTCGCTATCGCCTATCGAGTTGCTCCTGCACAGTCGCGTAGCTAAGGTATGGGCAGATGCTCAGGGCGCCACTAAAGGCTTCGACCTAAAAACATTTGTTTTGGCACTAACACTTTTGCATTAACATTTTTGTAGAATATCAAGCTTCATACTAAATTGTTCTTTGTCTACTTCAGGGCCTCCAGAAATGGGCAAGTTTATGAAGTCAGGAAAAGTTGTCCTCGTCTTGGGAGGCCGCTTTGCTGGTCGCAAGGCCATCATTGTTAAGGTATATTTTGTATACATAATTAGGTCAGTTAAACTAAATTATAGTGTAATTGTAAAACTAAATTTTTTTAGAACTGATTTATGGGCACTGCATTACTAGGGGCTACTAACTCAAGATCCACTGCCAGCTAGTTTGAGCCATTATCTGTCATGCATGACTGGGATGTGTAGCAGGCGTCTTGCATGAGTCCGTGAAATCAGCACACAGGCAGCTTGCGCCTGACGTGAAGTACAGAGTACCTCCTTATTTACATCACAACAGCTGAACTTTCCCTCACGCCTGTGACTAAAATCAATGTGCCACGCTACAATTTTGCACTCAGTAGTCTGCCATTGCTTCAGCTGGCGCTTAATGCCACTCTTGAAAAGTGTATGGGTGGTTTGCATTAGATACCTTGCAGCTTGATTGAACCAGAATTATGAAGCGCACTGGCAATGCCTAAGCCTAGGCGCTGAGGGCAACACTGAAAATTGTCTTTCATAAGTTTTTGGGAATTTTAATTTGGTAATTTCAATAGCATACACTATACACATCTCTGATTAATAACACTGCGTTAAACATAATATTGTTTACTTTATTTCCACATCAGAATTACGATGATGGAACCCAGGATAAACCTTATGGCCATGCCCTGGTAGCTGGCATCGACAGATATCCCAGGAAGGTAACACGGAGCATGGGAAAGAAGAAGTTGAAGCAAAGATCTAAGGTCAAGTCATTTGTCAAGGTCTTAAATTTCAATCACCTCATGCCTACCAGGTAGGTTTGTTCTTTTAACGTCTTATTCATTTAAAGTTACGATACAATAAAAACAGTAAAGCATGCCAGATTTTTTTTATTACAATCTGGCATGGTTACAGCTGGATAGCCACACCACCTTTTTTCAGTTTTACAGAGCTTGGGGGCTGATTGTGATTGTAGATTATACTCTTGTAATGTGATAAGTAGTAAACCAAAACAGTCTAATGGCATATCTGTTACAGGACACTATAAACTGGCATTTGGTGGTACCAATTTAATGATTTTCTATGCTGAGGCTCGGGTCTCTGTGGCCTGTAATGAGACCCATTTTCAGTACTTTGGCCCCTGAGTAAATGTTATTGAATAGCCTTGCAGACATTGTCACTGTTATATGAATGAGGCCATTTTAGAGAGTTTATCATAAGTAGTTTAGCTGGTTAGGTATAATAAGCCTAAAACAGAGAATCCCCAATTTGCATAATTTAAAGGCAGTAGGCCAAGAAGACCCTTAGTCAGATAGTTTGAACCAATGATAAGGGTTTAAAACTAGTTGTGAAAGGGAAGAGAGTGGAGTTTTTGTAAAAGTGAACAGATTTGCATGCGTGGACAGAAGGTAACTCAGGGAGAGAAAAAGGAGTTCATTCTGTGTTTAGCACTAAAGTGAACTGATAGTGTCTTGAGTAATTGCCAACAGACCCCGGCTGTGTTTGTCGCAATGAAAGCCTGATTGAATTAAAGTCAAATATCCTGAGTCAAGTCGTTTTCCTAAAAATAGTTCAGTTAATGATGATTGCCTAGCATTGTATTTGTGCCGAAAAAAGCCATGTGAGTAACTAACTACAGTGTAAACGATTGCCAGAGTAGTCACCAGTCAGAACTCTAGATGATCCCTAGTGACAATAGACAATATGAAATGATAATAAACAATAGGATGTGTCAACACCTTGTTTACCTTGTTAATTTAGTCGCTGTTGCTACACACTGGGATATTGGAGTCCCAGTCATCTGCATTAATCTGCTTACAACACTAGGAAAGTCGTCACATTCTGAGCTGTCGGCACCCATACCATTATCAGAATTATGAAAAGCTTTCATAACCCTCTAATCCACTGATGCTAATGGATAATGTGTCCATCAAGACTGAACAGCTCAACAGTGTCTAGTCTGAGAAATTGTTGATATATTTTAGGTGATTGTGATTAATTTATCACAAGTAAGTTTTCCTTCTAAAATTGTTTGTTTGCCGTGTTAAGTTGGCATGCTCCCATGCCTTTTGTTGAGGTTCAGTGTTCCGTTCCTAAGGCCGATAGCACTTACGTAAGCAGGAGCCATACATATTCACACACTCACTATTGCCGACAACCGCACAAATAACCTCAGACATCCAAAGAGCTTAATCAAAGAAGTTTATGTGCTATAGTTTATAAAAGGTTAAATATTTGTCTGCTTTTTTTTTAATTTCCAGGTACTCTGTAGACATTAACTTTGAGAAAACTGTTGTGAACAAGGACATCTTCAGGGATCCAGCCCTTAAGAGTAAAGCAAGGAGAGAAGTAAAAGCTAAATTTGAGGAGAGGTAATTGGTGCTAGAAATCTATATATATTTAAAACATGCAGAATTCAAAATTATGCATTTTCTAATCACTGATGCATTCCATGATAAGTTAAACCCAAAGGTGTTAGCTGTAATTACAACCAATAAACCCACACACACTGCACATAAGTGAGCTTTTGTGGGTATATGCTTCTTGTGGGTACCAGTGAGCTTCACCACATTAAGTGCTCACAGTTGTGTGTAGCATACAGCGTGTGTTTTACTGGATAAACTGCATTACAATTTAGATCCACATTGACAAGATTGTTTGCAGAAATTCCACATGAGTGAAGTGAGGTTTTGATTAGTTTATCCACATCGAACCATTAAGTCCATAAGCGCTGGGATCTCCTCTTGTAAATCAAGTAGTGTTTAGCGGGCGATGACACGTGTTTTATGTTAATGATTTATTTAACTTTCTGCACAGTTCTCTTGACTGGCCACACCCCTTCTAACTTGTTCTTATAGTCTGGTCATGGTTGCAGATTCAGTTATCACTTAGTTGCTGCGAGCTTCTTACTTTTCAGAGACCATTCAAAATATCAGTCGTAGTCCATAGCTCATCTAACCTCCACATCTTTACCTGCCAGCCTATCAGCTTAATCATTTTCCTGCACGCCCACGTCACCTGGCATGAGAATGAAACTTATATTTGTCAGCCCGGCCGCTTCAGACTCCAGTCACTGAATAATGCACTGCTACATTCTTTATGTGCAATGGATACAACCAAAGCAATTTTTTTTAAAATATGCATGTGCATGCCGTTGATTAGTTAATATGGGAAAGTTGGGAGAAATTATACTTAAAAATTGTATTCTTACAACAAATCAGAATTGTTATGCAGGTGAGAAATGCAGACAGCTAAAACAATTACTAATAAAAGCGAAACATTCATTAACTGATGCATATCAGATAAAAATTATGTTACTAATTTAGAGCTTAGGGAGAAAAGCACCAAGATATAGGGGGGGGGGGGGGGGGGGAGAGACAGTCACTGAGATAACCTGATTAATAAAAAGACACAGAATAATAATATGAGGGACATATCAGATGAGCTGCATGAGATCTTTTCTTCTCCCCTTTAATATCCACTGGCTTTAAATTCCAGTTGAAACTCCTGGTTTATCCATTTCTGGTCTCATATAATTCCAGAACTTGAGTTTTTGATGCATATCCGTTTTACAGGGTAAAGATAAATCAGGAGATTTGAACCAGCGTCATTGCACACGGTTATAAACCATAAGTGCTCTGCCACCAATACGGGCTGCTGATAAGAAACTCCGCCTATGTCGCTGTCCGCACGAAAGTATGTAGCTACAGCGACCATCCTCCATTTACCCCAGAGTGTTAACTCTGGTACCCATTACCTAGAGGCTTGGTGAAACCCGGGAACCGTCTAGTTTTAAACACCTGCCGTGGGCTGCTGCAAGTCGCAGCTGGTTTTTTTTTTACTGTTCCGAACATAATTGACCACCATCCATTTAAAATGCAGTTCACCACCACACAAAGCCATAAGAGAAAAAAAAATTTTGTACATGAAATGCAGTTCTCGGTGTTGCACCAAGCACTCGGTTCAATAGCTGGATGATGGATTATTTGAACTGCAAGTCTGGACATGTAAAATTTGCATCTGCAAATCCTTACTAGAAACAAACATAATTTCAGTAGTAAGCTGGTGATCTGCTATGTTGGACTAAAAGACCTGTCTAAAACATAAAGCAATAGGGTTATCATTGATTTCTCATTCACAATGTGCCCAAAAACGATTTTTCCCATTATAGGCAATAAAAATAAGTATTTGCTCACACATTATGAGACAGAAAAATGTTATGGTTTTTTTTTTTCAGGTACAAGACAGGAAAAAATAAATGGTTTTTCCAGAAGCTGAGGTTTTAAAGCTGTTTGTTGAATAAATGCCATGAACCATAATAATTGTTGTTCCATTGTGTAAGACTGCTTGTGGATCTCTGTATTAACACAAAATCCTGTACCACAATTCACAGTAATTTTCACTGAGAATATCTACAATATGTAATGTGACATACATGCTTTGAGTTTTTGTTGTTGACATAATCAGAATTATTCCACTTGATCTTTGGGCATCTTCTTTGCGTTCACTAGCTGAGAACTACAACAAAGAGTTCTGGGTATTTTTTTTTCAAATATGTATGCAGACTTTTGGTTCCATGCCTCTCAAGCAGATTTATTCTGACTTCGAAGGATGCCCCCAGTAGTCAACTCCTACAGCATACTCATTGGGTAGGCGGTGGGTCTATTCTTATTTTCCCATACAATATTAAAAACTGTTCTAGGATGACAACTGAGAGGTAAATTCGTAGTGTCTTTGCCATTTAAAGACTGGTCCTGGTGCAGATAGGTCTTTTGCCAGTTTGAGACTGTTCCTGGTGCAGATAATAATTTGCAATTCAAAGACTGGACCTGGTGCAGATAGGTCTTTGCCAATTGAAGAATGGTCCTGGTGTATCACTGACATGTAATATGCCTCTGCGTCGTGTAGAAGTATATAACAAAAGTGACATTCTGCAAGATCTGAACTCTCCACAATAAAGTTTGGCTGCAGTTTATGGTTGTGCACACGCTGAGGCTGCTGTTTGTCCATCTCCTCCTAATATCCCATCTGTATTGCTGTCCATACTACCCAAGGAGGCAGAAGGAGACAATGTTGAATCAGCAACACTCAAAGGTAAAACACTTCAGGTCAAAAGAGATGTTGCCAAACATGAATAATATACAAGTAGCCAAAGAAAAACAGTAAACATTCATTTCCTTAAGGCTGTTCTTGTAGCCATCTTCAGATTGCCAAACCATCTCATCTGTTGCTCTTTAATAAACTGTATACGCTGGTTTTAGTTCTGGTCTTCTTATTTCCTTATTTAGAATATATTTTTATTACTCAGCAGCTCTTCTAAGTGTCCTTACTCTGTTGTGATTTTGCACAAAAAATTTTCTAGTAAGGGACAAGTTTGTAAGCACGGAAAAAATATACATTTCAAAATACTTAAAGACTTACATTTACAGCATGTTACAGGAACCACCATTACTAAATTTACGGGCACGTATGAAACAGGGACTAGAGGGGGTACATTAAGAAGGGAATTAGAGTGACGAAAGTATTAGTTGCAGAAAGGAGGAGAGCCGAGCCTCTGAGAAGAAACACTAAAGAGAAATTATGGCAACAACAGTCGGTCAAATCACCTGCTATAATTGTGGAAGACTTCTTTATGCGGGCGGTCTTACTAGTTGCCATTGGCTGTGAGTTCCAACACTCCTCATAGTGAAATAGAAGAGAAAAATGATTCCCAGTTATAAACCATTTAGGTTGAACCACCACTACACCTATCAAGCATGTAGTAACAGGTAACGCACCAACAGTCTGCTCATAAACCAGATCTGTAAAATGGATGTGCATGCAAAATTCCAATTCTGAAACAAGACTTATAAAGTCTAAAAGTCGATTAGCGTCCATGACTGACTGACTTTCTACCCCACCAGGGCATCACACTAGCGATAAACACCCTATGACACAAAGTGCCACCATGTGGATGAGGATCGCCGTGGAGAGGTCCCAAAAACCACATTCAGACAATTGGCCATATTTATGGCCAGGCTATATTGCGGCCCCTGGCAAAAGCCAGAGTAGGGCTTCAAATAAAGAACAATTTCATCCTAAAAAGGACGTAAATGATTTTGCAGCAACATTAGAGTCCAGAATTTTCTGTTGGTTATATACAGCTAGTCAACGCAAAGAAGAAGACTACTCAAAATGTGTGAATAAGCAAAAGTTAACTTGAATAAATGCTAAAGGGATATGGTTGTTTACGTGGTTACTACTACTATTGTTTTGAAATATAATTTATGTTCAATAAAGTAAGTTGAGATCCTTTTAAAGCCACTTGATGAGTGACAAAGGCCAACATTAGTAATATTGTGCATTTAAACACGGCTTACACCCCTTTGAGTCACCATGTCCTAGACAATTATTGGAAGAGGTAGGTCAGTTGGTTTTAGCCTTGTTTACTTTGTAATAATAATAGTATATTAATGTGCTGAATAAAATTAAGATTTTTGACATAGGTAAATGCTTAAAAAGAGAATGTCTTTACACAGTATTTGGTGGAAAATGTATTATTATTCTTCTTGCGGTTTACAGATCTGACTCATTTGTATGCAGACTGCTGGTTCCTTGCCTCTCAGGCAGATGCACTCCGACTTTAAAGGAAGCTCCCAATTAGTCGACTCTTACAACATGCTTTTGGGTAGGCAGTGGGTCTATTCTTGTTTTCCCTATAATAGGGCCCCGGAACCCACACGGGGAGGAAATTGATTCAAAATGTCAGTCTTCAGGTTCATCACTCAAATGTTAAATGTGAGTTGACATCACAGCACTCGGGACACCCCCACAAGCACTCCGTCTCCATCTTGAGCAGCAAGCAAAGAGTTAAAATTATGATGGTACCAGTAACTCTGATTAAATATCCGTCTCGCCTTTCCCTTGAGTGTGAAAGTTTGTCATATCCCCTTGTAAGTAACTCTTCGCAGTGCCATTCTCTTCAGGCCGTAAAAAATCATGAACATAAAATGTGATGAATTCAAAAAGGACATCAGATAAATGTCTGCACAAATACATATGTCGACTGCAGTTAGATAAAGGTGGAGATAGACTGGGCACATCTGGAGACGAAACGAGCTAAGAATTACAAGACATGCACTGAAATGAGAAGCACAATGTCTGAGAAAGTAAAATAGGACGTCCAGGGAAAACATTAAGACGACGAACATCATTACGAAAGGCCAAAAATGCTGGATTGAACTCTGTCAGAAATTGAGAATCTGCAGGCAATCGAGTGGAGAGGAGGAATTGAATGCTAGCCCTATGTGACATCTAACGTTACACACAGGGTGAGGATATCGGGGTGCCATAAAACGGTAACGAAGTAACCTGTAGTACAGTGTTGGTGGGTTTAGTGTTCTACATCATAGCTTTCACCGATTGTAAACGCCGTTTGTTCCCCTGTTTCTTGGCTCAAGTCTTGTTCCACAAATTAAGTTGTGCATGCTGTTGGCTCAATGACCCCAGGCATGATTTCAGCGAAAGCATTCGCTGTCGCGATAGGTCTTGAAAATGCGTATAAAAGCGTTGACGTCACGTATCTTATGGAGTGCGTGATGGACTGGTTTGAACCCTTGGTTAGCTAATTCCACGGCCTTCTCTATTTATAAAATAGCTCAAGATGGGCGTGGCTAATTCGATAGGGGCAGCATTGTTGGAAAGAATAGTGATATTTGGTTTGAGAACACGGAGATAGATCTAATACGCATTTGCCCAGACCTTCCCCATGGTGCACCTGTCTTCTCTATCAATATACAGCAAGTCTGGCAAAAAAAATTCTATGTCGCGGCGCCTTATTTTAATTAAATATTTTCCACCGCGCCCTAACCTAAGTAAAAGTATGACTATTCGTGTCTTGGTTAAATTAACTCTGAAGCTTTTACAATATTTCGCGGTGCAGTTTGGGAATCACTGTCCTAAAGTGTCAGACAGGCACAATATGACCAGAGACTTGAGATAGCTCAATTAGAACAATGAGGTGTATATGCTTGGGCTGACATCGGTAAAGTCTAGACTGGCGCAAGCCAAGCCCTGTATGCGAGTTATGAATGATAAAAGGCATCCAGACGGCGGCCTTAGTCTAGCAGGGGACAGGAATGGGTGGACACACACCCACAATAACAGTTTTCATCAGGTCATTATCACGTTAGGAAGAGAGTGATGTAACGGTATAGCCGAATTAGAGGTACAAACAACGGCTAGATTATGTAGTAGTGTACACCAATGGTTCTGTTCATCGGGTTGTAAGATTTGGCTGGGGATTTTCAACTAGAATGAAGGGGGAAATTGTGGCAGAACAAAACGGAGCTTTTGTTTTTTATCTACAATGTCAAGCACGAGATTGGAAGTAGAGACAATCACTGCAGCTCTGAACTAGATAGTAGAAAACAAAGTTACTAGAGGAATTATTGAGTGTGATTCTTAGTTGTCATTGCAGAAGGTTCAAAATGTATTAATGTGACATGAGTGGATAGCATGCATCAATACGCCAACATTGCAGGGAAACACATGGATATACTGTCCGGGATATGCAGGAGTGCGAGAGAATAAGAGAGCGGATTTTCTGGCTACAAACGCGAAAGCTACGGGAACATCATATATGAACGACTGTTGGCAGAAGACACGAGATTAGATGAAATAACATGGGCAAGAATGTGTGAATGAGGAGGAATTAAGTGTGGATCTGACAAGGAGGGACGGATGATAGGAAGAGATCGGCGTGTAGATAATCAGTATGCTACGGGAACAGTTGGTATCTACACCTTACGTCATTTGCTGCTGGTGACAGAGCATCTATTCGTATGACCGGTGTGCTGTGATGACGATTCTTAAATAAGTAAATTCTCAGGCAGATGCACTTTAACTTTGACGGAAACACCACTGATTGGTCGACTTTAACGATAAGCCACGTGAAGAAGTTGAGTGTTCATAACTCAATCAGGGAGCCGCGTTAGCGTAGTCGATAGGAGACCCTTTCAAATCCAGCTGCGACTCGCTGCAGCCCACGGCCGGTGTTCGAAACCTGGCGGTTCCCGGTCTTCTCCAAGCATCTAGATAATGGGTACCAGAGTTAACACTCTGGGGTAAATGGAGGGACGTTGCGTGCGGACAGAGACATTGACGCTGGTTCACATCTATCTATCTATCTCCGTTTACCCCACCAGGGACATCACACAAGCGATAAACACTCGATGACACAAAGTACTACAATGTGGATGAGATCACCTGTAGAGAGGTCCCAGAAACCGCGTTTAGCCATTATACCATATTTATGGCCGGGCTATAACGCGGCCCCTGGAAAGAGCCAGAGTAGGGCTTTAAATAACGAAAAATTGCATCCCACAAGAGGATGACTAGATAATAGCAGGTTCACATCTCCCGACTTTACCCTTTTTAACTCGTCAGATCGTGCTTCGGTCAGATCTTGGTGAGCAAACAACACCAAGGCAACTGATGTATCTGGGCTGCCAAATGCTGCCAATAGGACTTTAATCAAAACCCAAGCCTAGCTGACGAAAAAACCCAAGCAATAAGTAAGAAGAAAAAACACCAAAGATTTATTTTAAAAAAAAATACAAATTGTATGGTTATGAAACAGAGCATTTACCCATTTTTATTAATGGATATTTAAAAAAAAAAAAAAACCCAAGATTTAAAAATCTGAACCCAAGGCATCATATAGAAACCCAGATCTGGTGAGACCCAAGTATTGGCAGCCCTGAGATCGGTGTCTTCACGTTAAGGAGAGTTCGAATAGTGGGGAAAAAAAGGAAGCCAAAGTATTTTAGTTTTAACTTTTAGTTATATAATTTGTAATGATAGCAAGTAAGAAACATCAGTAGACGAAGTAGCTCGATGCAGATACTTTAGAAATGGGAAACAGTCTGGTGAAGGCAGCAGCTTTGGATTTTGGCATCCAGTGGGTGTGCTGGGCCTTTGCAGCGGCACTTCAAACTGAGAAATTCTACGACCTGGCAGGTAGTTTGTTGTTTAGAACCAAACTAGTAATACTAGTATTGTTAGTGTCAGGTACTCATAATAATTATGAGCTTATGTAACCGGTTGCCATTTTGTTTATATTAAGAGCGGAATCCTTTAAAATAGTAGCAGCCTACACCAAATTATCAAACTAAATATGTGCTTTTTCAAGTTTGATGAGACATTTTATTAACTCACCGCTTACGTGACACAGAGCGCCGAAACTTGGGAGCTCAGGTACCCTGTGCGCCCCTCCCACTTAGGACCTATGTTTACTTTGTGTCAGCGCTCCTGGTAATGGCTGTACTGCTTTTCTTTTCTAAATTTCCATCCCAGGAAAAAATTGCTTCCTAGGTCAGTAAAGTCGATTACTGTTTCCAAACCTACATTATCTGTTATTATATGTCTTTCACATTTGGAGCTTAGGCTATCTCTACCAGCAACATCAGCTTTTAACAATCTGATCAAAATAGAGAACACTAAATTATAAAGTTTAAAAACTGAACTATATATTTTAAATTCGAATGTTATTTCAGTTTTTAACACATGCCCAGTGAAAGTTGAAGAGCTACAAAAGACTGTTGTACAAAAAGCAAATGTCTGGGGGAAATTGACAAACATTCAATGAATTAAATTCCTATTAGCAAGCAAGATTGGGCTCATTATGAGAAGTTGACAGAGAACCACTAAAACATGCACTGAAATAGGAAACAAATGGACGGATGATATAAGAACGTCCAAGAGAAACCCTTTAGTATTCTTCTTTCTTCTTCTTCGCGTTCACCGGCTGTAAACTCCGGTGGAAAGTTCTGGTTGTTCATCCAATTCTGGACTGCAGTTCTGTTCCAGAACCTGAGTGTTGTATGCGCATCCGTTTAACAGATCTATATGCAGACTGTTGGTTCCTTGCCTCTCATGCACTCCGACTTCAAAGGAAGCTCCCAATTAGTCGACTCTTACGACATGCTTTTGGGTAGGCAGTGGGTCCGTTCTTGTTTTTCCCATAGTAGGGCCCCTAAACCCACACGGGGACCTTAAGTATTGTTACGAGAGACCTTTAAGTGCTTGAGTGAATTCCATACATTATATTTAGCAGATTGCATAGGATAAATCGGAATAGACAGCAACCCTTTGTGACGTATAAATGATACAAATGGATGATGATGATGATATTCAGTAGGTGGTAAATGGACCCTTGTCTACTCTTTCGAGTGCAGTGACTATCTGCATGAGTGATGTAGTTTAATGTCACACTGTCTGGCTTGCCTTCCCAGACATTTCCTAGAACCCTTTAGGCTGTTTCAGGGACACAGATTTCATGTCCCTGTGCTTGATCCATGGGGATTTGAACTGATGGCTACACTATCATATAAGAGACTTATATTTCAGTAAAGCAAAGCATCTCATGGACTGAAAATGCTTGTGGTTTATTCAGTATCCAATAAATTGTTTCAGCCTCTGTTTCTTAGCATTCATTGGCTGTAGATTTTAGCTGAGTTGTTCCTCCGCTTTTATACTTTGGTCTTCTTCATGAAGTTTTGCATGCACATTCATTTTACAGACCTGAATTATTTATATGCAGACTGTTGGTTCCTCACCTGTCAGGCAGATGCACACAGACTTTGAAGGAAAAAACCCTAATTAGTTGACTTGTACAACAGGTTTGTTGGGGGGGGGGGGGGGGGCAGTCGGTGTTTTCCTTTTCCCTCCACAATGGGTCCCTGAACATGCATTTCTAAATTTCATCTGCCCGTCCTTCTATTAGATCAATCTGGTCTATCTAAAATGGTACTTGGACACATATGGTTTAAATGTTATATTATTTTAACTCATTAGGGTGCAAATATTGTAGCCCTAAAATGTAAAGGCTTTGTGATGGTTGGCATCAAATTAATACCTGCTTAGGATGCTTGGGAATGAAAGAGTTAATATACCTAGTGTTAGATGTAAAGCAGGACATTTGACACATTGAACATGTTTGTAATATATTTAGTTACTTAAAAAGTAAGGAAATAAATGACCCCTCTCATGTCTTTGACACACAGGGCATATACAAGGTCCCACAATTAAGTAATGAGACTAATTCCATAACAATTAAAGTAATCAACAGGTGAAGATATAACCTGCATTTTATTCAAAGTAAGTTTCTTGTGCATTGATACAGAAAGTAGCAAGATCTAACAAACATTGGAACTACCTCTGTAGTTCTTCTGTTGCTGGCCCTTAAAGTCGATATTACGGCCCTTTGGATTTCATCAAAATCATCAAAGAAGCATCCTTTCAATGGTAACTTTAATTTTGGGAATAGAAAATAATCACAGGAAGACAAATCTGGGGAATCAGGTGGAAGGCTGACAACACACACTTGTTTTGGGGCCAAAAATTAATATTTTGATGATGTCTCTTGGGTACTTAACCTGCTGATGTTTTTGGTCATCAGACGACGAATGTGGTACACACCTGCAAGCAACTTTTTTTAAACCAACATCTTGCACTTAAATTTTTACAAAGGTCTCTCTATTAACATTAGATTCATCTGCCATCGTCCTGACTGTAAAACAACAATCTTCTTGTGTGCGTTCTGTGACTTTTGCAATTAGTTCATTATTACCAACGGAAATTGGCCCACCAGGTCTAGTTGCATTGGTAATCATTTCTAAACCACTTTTGAATCATGAATACCACCTGAAAATCTATGCACAAGATAAACAATTATCTCCATAAACTGGTCGCATCAATTTAACTGTTTCAACAGCACTTTTTCTGAGTTTCAAACATAATTAAAGGTTAGCTTTTTGCTCCATGCTGATTTCTTAACAGTGCACATCTAACTAGGTCAACAAAATGGCCACTTGTTTGTCATCTGCTTATCAAGCGGCGATGTAAAGTTGCCAGATCATAGATAAAGGCTGCCTCTTTGGATTCCATGCTTTGCTTCAAAGATGCCACTTTTGTCTTGGCAATAATAAGATCAGTCTCATTACTTAATTGTCGGGCATTATATAGTTGGCATTTGGTGGGTGATGTGGTCAATCTCACACTGGCCACCTTTGCTTTCCAGGACATTACTGGTATCAGTTTTAGGCTGGGTCAACCTGGGAGCTGAGGTCACTTTTTGAATTTGAACCTTCAACATTCTGGCCAGTAGGGGAGCATCTATGCTTCTATGGCTGCCATTTATGCACTTATATTTTAGCATGAAGCAACAAAATTGACACACAAATATTGTTAGTGATTTCCTGAAATATTTATTGGTTTCAGGTTCTGGCACCTTTGTTATTCTGACACTTGTAACTTTGAATGAGAATGTGACTGCTCACATCCGACAGAAAGTGAATAGTGGCATGGTTGTTACGTATGCACTGAGGTATGTAGCTTGTGTGTATATTGACTGTCCAGATCAACATTTGTAGTTTCTAACCCTGTTCACCCAGACATAGCCAGTTTTCTTACTTTTATGGGTTTTGATGAAATGTCATCTGAGTTGGGTTAAGTTTAGTCAAGAATGGACATCACAGCACTCGGGCATTTCCATGCATGCTCCGTCCTCATCTTCAGTAGCCAGTGCAGAGTTCAAATACTGATGGTACTGGTCACATTCTGATTATGTGTCTGTTTTGTCTTTCCTCTAAGTGTAGTGAGCCAGCCAGCCCCTCTGGTTACACCCAGGTGCCTCATTCTCTCCAGGCCATAATAATCGTTCTCTACTGATTCCTATGCTTGTTCCCAAAGCTCCTTGACCACATCTGCCTTGTCATGTATCAGTTCACCCCCCAGTGAAGCAGATCCAGCCAATCTGTCTGCCTGTTTATTACCCACCACGCCAGCATTGCTTGCAGAAAAGAACCAAAGTATGCTTACTACCCGTGTCCTTTTCCTGTCTTCACCTTTCTCAGCATACTTTCAGAGTCTGTTACAATTACGACATGTGTATGCATCTTCTTCTCTAGCCACCGGAGAACATCAGTTACCACCTCCGTTCTCATGCTAGATTGACATGTCATCTTTGGGCGGCGACAAATCCACCTATCTTATATAACAGCTTTGGTATTGGTTCTAACTGCAGATTTGGTGGGTATTATTATATTTAAGCAAATTTTGTTTTGGAGATATTATTTGTGGTTTAAATAGATTTGTGGTTTGGGGAAGGGGGGGGGGGGAGAGGGGTGATGTTACAATAAACTGATTGTATCACTTTGCTGTCCTCACCCAAGTAGCAAAGTTTAAAGTACCAGCTCTCCAGGGACTGTTGTTTATCATTCCCCCCCCCCCCCCCCCCCCAATTCCTTTTTCTTTTTTTTACCAGGCTGTGAAACTAGCAGGATGTAAAGTACTAGTGCATCAACTTCACGCCTGCAGTGAGGTGAGGCATCATTCAGCGCGCGTGGAACGTAACTCACTCACCTAATTCAGCACTCACTACTCAAACACTCACTCACTCACTCACTTCACTGGGACTCTTTGGTGGGGGCCTAGACTTGTATTAATCCTCCACAGGTTCTGAGTATTTTATTGTGAACGGTTCAGCTTAACTCTCAGGAGGAATCTTTTCTTTTTCTTAGCGTTCAGCAGTTGTAAACTCTGGTGGAAAGTTCTGGTTGTCATCCACTTCTGCACTTTAGCCTTGTTCTAGATCATGAGTTTTGCATTCATTTCACAGATCTGGCTTATTTGTGTGCAAACTGTTAGTTCCTTACCTTGCAAGCAGGTGCACTCTAACTTTAAAAGAAACAACTGTAATTAGTCACCTCTTATGATATGATTAATAATGGGGCAGTAGGTCTAATAACCACCCCCACTGCCTTCTCACAAAGGGGCCCCCCCCCATGGGGCAGCCTTCTAGGGGCCCCACCCCCACTGTCTCACAAACCACCCCCACTGCCTTCTCACAAAGGGGCCCCACCCCCACTGCCTTCTCACAAAGGGGCCCCACCCCCACTGCCTTCTCACAAAGGGGCCCCACCCCCACTGCCTTCTCACAAAGGGGCCCCACCCCCACTGCCTTCTCACAAAGGGGTGATAATGACAGAAACAATGAAAGACATTAACTGCATTCCGAGCCTCAAGAGCTCATTCAGTGAAAGAAAACACGAAAAAAAGACAGTTACCTCAGAAGACAACTTTGTAACTATATAACTTTAAATTTGTTTCTCCCCCTAATCAGACTGGGAATCTACTTATTTTCAAGAATTTTGAAGGATGGGGGAGATAGGCGATTTAATGTTGTTCGTACCAAGCCTGGTTTATTCTGGGTTTACTGGACAATTCAAGGTAAGTCAATCTTGCTACTTTCTTTGTTTTCTGAAGATATTTATGGCCGAACAGTATTACACCAGTTTGTTGTCTCATTTTTCTTCTTCACATTCACTGGCTGTAGACTCTGTCTGAAACTTATGGCTGTTTGTCCATGTCCTAACTTTAGTCTTGTTCTGAACTTGAGTGTTGTGTGCACATCCATTTGACAGATTTTGACTTATTTATATGCAGATTGTTGGTTCCTTGCCTGTCAGGCAGATGCACCCCAGGAAGGCTTCAATTGGTTGACTCTTAGGACATGCTTTTGCGTAGGCAGTGGGTCTATTCTTGTTTTCCCCACAAAGTGGCCTCCGAACCCACATGGGAAACCAGTTTGTTGTGTTTTTTATTGCGTTTTACCAATTTTTAATTTCTGGTTGCAATTTATGCTAGATCACATCAAAGATTTTCTGTTTTTTTTTGTTTTTTTGGTCCTACTTCTGCCTTAAAGCATCACTGAGATGAGTTAGATGTAGTTTCCTCTCTTTTACTAGTTGCGTCGCTTGTGTTAATGTTAATTGAGTTTCTGTTGTATCCTTTTTACTCCCTCCACCCATCTCTTTCTTGGTCAGCCTCTAGACTTTTAGCCTGCTGTTCTTATGAAGTATGCTGTAGCTGCTAGCTGATTTTGTTCTGTTCTGACCAGATAACCAAACCATCTGATTTCTTGATGTTCTCTAAAATCATTTGTAGGTACTATACCTAACATTTCTCTTACCTCACAAACGCCTTGATGTAAGTGGTATTTGTCTGCCAGGAATAGATACCAGGTGTTTCACTCGGGGCGGAATCCAGTATTTCTTTCATAAATTGGATACTAATAAATATACGGCAACCAAATTTGGAGTGGACTTATCTCGGTTCATGTTGACATCTTAACAGGCAGCATTGGATGCATCAGTCCATATTGTGGAAAGTCTGTCTCAGCACGTCCTTCAAACATGCATGATTCAAGGTCATATGATGTTTAGCTGCCCCATTATTAATGAAATACTGGGTTCCATCCAGAGTGAAACCCCCAATAAAGCTCAGCATTTTTGGGATCATCACAAATGAATAGTTTTCCCTTGTCTCAAACTTATCTGTTACTATTTTTCTGTGTACTATTTGTGTTATATTGACAGTCTATAATCAATAAAGAAGAAGAAGAGACAAAAACATGAAGTGAATAATGCAGGATAGAAGGACGAGGAAGAAGAACACGAAGAAAAGGACAGAACAGTAGGGCACATAGCGAGAGTAGAAGGTTCTGGAATGGTGGTAGGACAAGGAGGAAAAGGGGGCGGGGACAGATGAGAAACAGAAGGAGGATTGGCAGATTTGTAAGACAAGAGAAGAGATGAGAGAATAAAGAGAAAAATGATAAAGCATCACAGTAGGATAAGGTAAAAGACGAGGAAAATAATTGAGCGTAATAGAAGAAGAAGAAAAAGAGGGAAAAGATTAGAAGGAAAAGGATTGAGCCTAGTAATAGGACAAGGAAGAGGACAAAGCAGGACAGAAGGACAAGGAAGAAGAATAAAGCAGCACTGGGTAATTATGTTTCTCAGGTGGGTTTCGTGGTCCCATTTTGTGAGGGGAAAAAATAGACCCACTGGCTCCCTAACAAGCATGCAATCAAAGGCAATTAATCAGAGATTTCCCCTCCAAAGTTGGAGTGTATCTGCCTGAGCAGCAAGGAACCAACAGTCTGCATATAAGTAAGCCAGATCTGTAAAACAGATGTGCACACAAAATTCAAGTTCTGGAACAAGACTATAGACCAGAAGTGGATGAGCAACCAGAACATTCTGCCAGAGTTTACAGCCAATAAATACTTAGAAGAAGAAGATGTAATTATGCCATTGTGTTTGTGCCATCTGTATAGAAATTTAATCAACCTTAGATTTTCCTACAACAACAGGGGTGTGGATATTGTCCACCCTACTGCCGACATTAATTGTGAACACAAAGAAAGACAACTCTCGGCTACAAACAAGAGATTATATTGGCTGGAGTCTTTGGGGCCTTGGATTTCTGATGGAAATGGTTGCTGATTTTCAGAAGTCTCAGTTCAGAAGTGACCCACAGAATGCTGTAAGTACACTCATCATGGAGTTATCATCATCATTTTGGTTGTTTCCTTCCCCTTGTGGGTTCTGGGGCCCAATTATGGGGAAAACAAGAATAGACCCCCTGCCTCCGGAACAAGCATGCCAATGGAGTTACCTAATTGGGGACTTCCTTCTTTGTCGAAGTGCATCTGCCCGAGCGGCAAGGAACAACCAACAGTACACAATTAAGCTAATATAATGGATAAACATTCAAAACTCAAGCCCAGGCACAAAGCCAATGTCCAAATGGACGAACAACCATGACTTTCTGCGGGAGCTTACACCTGATGAACAAAGAAAAAGAAGAAGTTTTTTTCCTCTCTGGGTTCCTGGGCACTGTTTAAGGGTGTAAAGGTGGGGGGGGGGATAGATCCGCTGCCTTCGCAATGGCCATGCTGCAGTGGGGATTTTGTGTATAAATAAGCCAGACTCCCTTGTGTACAGACTTCCTTATGTGTAGGCTTCCTTGTGTACAGACTTCCTTGTGTAGACTTCCTTGTGTGCAGACTTCCTTGTGTACAGACTTCCTTGGGCACAGACTCCTTTGGGCACAGACTCTATTGGGCACAGACTCCCTTTGGTACAGACTCCCTTGGGCACAGACTCTCTTGGGTACAGACTCCCATGGGCACAGACTCCCTTTGGGCACAGACTCCCTTGGGCACAGAATCTCTTGGGCACAGACTCCCTTTGGTACAGACTCCCTTGGGCACAGACTCCCTTTGGTACAGACTCCCTTGGGCACAGACTCTCTTGGGTACAGACTCCCTTGGGCACAGACTCCCTTTGGGCACAGACTCCCTTTGGTACAGAATCTCTTGGGTGCAGACTCCCTTGTGTGCAGACTCCCTTGGGTACAGACTCCCTTGGGTGCAGAAGTTTTTAAAGGCTGTTATCTCACAGAAACCCACCCACACTGGACTACAAGTTAGTTTGCAACCTTTTTGTGGTGCCCCAGTATAACTGTGCTATATGGCTCTGTGGTTGAATAAGCTTTCTGGGATTTGTACCAATTTAATTCTCATCCTT